TTTTTTTTTTTTTTTTTTTTTAATGTATTTGGTATAGGGTCTCACTATGCAGCTTGGACTTTGCAGTGATCCTCCTGTTTTTAGCCTCCCCAGCACCAGAATTACAGGCGTGTGCCACCATGCCTGGTCCCAAAAGGTGATTTTTTTTTTAAACAAGGAAATCCTCAATAGCACTCCACATTGTGTGGAAGCATCTTGTTTTCCAGAACAGATGCTAAAACTCAAAGCTGTGGACAAAAGGGACCAAATGCTGCATAGCCTAAGTCATAAGTGTTGCCAGCCAGGGCTTGTCATTTGAGCCTGACTTCTAAGGGCTTCCTAAGACAGGCCTGGGTGAGTGTAGCCTTCGAGGAGAGAAGCAACCCAGGTCTGCACTGGCGAGAGTCTCCCAAACAAGACTCTGGCCTCACATAGGACTTTAAGCTCTAATGGCTGTCCTTTGTAATGGATTTCACTGTTCTGTTCACAAACAATAATAATTTTGTTAATATAGAAAACTTGGCTTCTAGATCTTTCTTGTGGCTTTGTCTGACAATCCTTTCTCAAGTCTTTCCTTGGAGACAGGAAAGGTAGAAGTGGTGGTAGAGGCCAGAGTTGCAAGCAGAAAGGATGTTGCTGACTCTACCTCACTTCTCTGTCCAAGCGACTCCTCCCTCTCTAGTCAGAGAAGATCTCAGAGCCATATATGAGTTTTAAATTTAAAAGTAGAGTTGGGGATGTAGTTCAGTGGTAGAATACTTGCCTAGCATGCATAAGGTCCTGAGTTTGATTCCTAGTGCTGAATAAGAAAAAAAAAAATTCCTAAAACAATTTGCACCAGGGAGATAGTGCAGTAGACTAAGCACTTGCCTGGTTAAGTGCAAGGGCTTTAGTTCAATCCCTGGTTCTGCCAAAAAAAAAAAAAAAAAAAAAGATCTTAGTGCTGAATAAAATAAAATAAAATTCAAAAAACAGGATTAGGGCTGAGGGTAAAGCTCAGTGGTAAAGTACGAGTTTAGTATGTGTGGGGCTGTGAGTTCCATTCCCAGCATCAAATATTTTACAATTTTTTTTGAGGCAGGTCTCGTTTTGTAGTTGAGGCTGGTCTTGCACTCACTGTGTAATCCAGGCTGCCCTTGAATGTACAGTAATTCTCCTGCCTCAGCCTCTGAGTGTTGGGATTACAGGTGTGTGCCACCATGCCTGGAAGTATCGAAATTAGAAAATAATATGCAAGACAGTAATTTAACTATTAAGTTCAGACAGATCTCTGAAAGCAGCAGCCATGTTGAGGTACCCAAGGACGTACTCCTTGACAAGGAACAAGAGGCACCTGGAAAATGTCAGCTCAGGTGTTTATTCTGAGCGGTTGATACTTCCAAATAAACCATTTACCTGCAGCCTAATCTCAGCAGCTGAAAGATCTCGAAGGCTCTGACTGGTGATCCTGTTCTCTCGCAAGGTACAACAGACCCTTGATCTGTCTGGCAGAAGTTGGAGCTGGAGCCTTGGTGCAGGGTTATAACTGTAAATTAGGCATGTACCCTTATTTATATTTATGAGCCAGTGACAGCCATACCCTAGGCGCTACTAGGCAATAGAAGAGACTGTTAATAAATCCTCCAGGGCTGGTGAGATGGCTCAGTGGTCTAAAGCACCTACTTAGAACAAGCTTAGCAAAGCACAGGGACCGCGGTTCAATCCCCCAGCACCACATGCCAACCAGCCCCGCCCCCTGGTGGGCTGAGCTGGCCACACACACACACACACACACACACACACAAATAAAAAAAATAAATCCTCCAATTATCAATTTAATCAATGTAATCAAATGTCATCAAATTGGAAGTACTATAGTTAGCCATTGCAAGAATTAAATAAGGCATGTAATATGCTCAAAATATGGGAATTGATGATTATGGGTATTCTATAAATGCAATTATCTTAAATCATCTGGATTGCAGATCCCTGAAGTTGGCCATTAGGATAGCGGAGTACTCACCCAGCAGGCTAAACAAATCATTCTCAAGGTGCAGACTGCAGGCTCCCTGGTGCCAGGTATACAAGACCCGTGCTTTGGTTATTAAAATTATTTTATAGTAATCCTAAGAGATTATGTATCTTTCTCACTCACATTCATTCCATGAGTGATGCCCATTCATGGGGTTTCCAGTAGCTGCGCATGTGATAAAGTCATGGCTTCAAGTCCCACAGAATGTATGCTTCCAGATTCCCTTGTTTTAAAATGTTCTCAGTTTTGGAGAACTCAGGCCCTGGCTGAGAGGACAAGATACACCTGTAATCTAGGAGAACTTGCAGTGTTTTGAGAGGTGCTGTAGGCCATAGAATGTAGCTGGAAAGGGGCTGAGGCTCTTATATTGTGCTTCTAAGTAGGATTTTTTTTTTTTTTTAGATAGGCTCTCACTATGTAGTGCAGGCTGACCCTGAACTCACTATGTAGCCCAGGATGACTTCAAACTTGCAGTGACTCACTGTTTCAGATTCCCTAGTGCTGGGATTACAGAGTGTCTGCCACCACACCAGGCAATAGGATGTTTTATCTTGGTGTTTACAAAAAACATTTCTTAAAGAAACAACAATAGTTGTGCCAAAGAAGGCTGCGGCTGTGTGCAGCCTACTGCTCAAGGATACAGCTAATTAAGGAGTTTGTTATCAGAAACACAGAGTAGCTCAGCGGATTAAAGCACCTGCTTAGGCAGACACAGGGACCAGGTTTCAATTCCCCTTGTGCCAGGCTAGCCCCACCTCTGAGGTGCACTGAGACAGCGATTGAGACTGGGTGTGGGGGCACGCACCTGTAATCCCAGCTCTTGGGTAGGCTGAAAACAGGCAAATCACTGAGTCCGATCTATGTAGTGAGACCCTGCAGACCCTGTACTAAATACATAAAATAAAAAAAGAAAGAAACGTAGTAGAGGCTGTCACTCTCAGGGGCATTTCCAAACTGTCTTCCATGCTTACGTGCCCTATGTGAGGCCATATTACTGTGTGAGCTGTGTCATTCACTGCAAGGTGGTCAGGAATCCATCTTGGGAAGCCTGGAAAGACCAAACATTTCTCCTCGGATGATGTGATGTCTTCCCTGTGGTGGTGGTTGCAGGACCGCATGCACTTGTCAAAACGCATACAACTGTATGTTGAAAGTGGGTGGGTTTCACTGTGAGAACTAATCTCAATTTAAAAAGCAAAAATTATCTCTCCATTTTAATTCCTAATAGGACAAATCCAGTTAGAAACAACCTACATAAACACAAAATTTTAGTGTTTAAGTTTATAAAGAAATCTTGTGACCAAAAATGTTGAGAACCACTGCACTAAGGCATAGATTTCTTTAGTGAAGCAGTTGTAATTACTCAAGTCTAGAGTTGAGGAAAGTGATTAAAACGGAGAGTGAAATCTGTCTGAACTTTGTGCTCTGTAATTGTGCTGAAAAATGTGGTAACCACTAGCCACATATGATTATTACATGATAAGGTGACAGCCCACTGTAGCTAAGTGGTAGAGGATAACATTAGCATATTCATGGTCCTGGGTTCAGTCTCCACTGCCACGCACACACACAAGGTGGGTGGTCTAAATCAAAATGCACTTAGCCCAAAAGAAGGTAAATTATCTTATTAATGACTTTGCAGAAATGACAATCTTTTGGATATATTGGGCCAAGTAAAATATATTGTCAGAACTAATTCCACTTGTAGCTTTTTACTTTAATGCGATTACTGGAAATTTAAAAAGGTACCCATATGGCTTTTCCTATTGGACGTCGAGACTCGCCTGCCAATTTCTCGTCCATCTCCTACAAGACATGTTAAAGCTTACAGCTTCTCTAAATTTCTTGGGTTTCCTGGAACGCAAAATGTGAGCAACGTTAGCGTTTAATACTACATGTGAATAATGTGACAATATTTAGCAATAGGTGAACAATAGGTAAAATTTGCTAAATTTCCTATTTAGCAAATAGAAAAACAGTAAGTTTAATGGCTCTGGCTACTGACGGCATTGGTTTCCCTATTGATGCCTTCGGAGACAGGTCACATCCTTATTAAGGGCCCTCTTCAGCAACCTGTGGCGCCCACCCCCCTCACTCGCCTCCCATGAAAGCAATAACGCCGGCAGAGGGCTGACTCCACTTTCGAGCAGGAAGGCTTTCTTCTCCGAAATGAAAACGGGACCCAGGGCCCCTCCTGAAAATGGAGAATCTTCATTTGTAGATGGAGCCTGGGCAAAATCTGCACACAAAAACCTGCAAACAAGCGTCCGGTACCCGAGAGCTTCCCTTAGCAACTGACGCCTGCGCACGTTGTTAAAAGAGAAAGGAAAAACAAAGACGTGGTCCGTCCGCTATTGCTGTCCGCGGCTGCCACTTCCGGTTTCCCAGGCGCCTGTCCTTCGACCTACCTTCACCCGAGGAGGTGGGCTTGTGGCCGTGGGTTCCGCCGCCTCGGGAGCCTCCGGAGCCCTCGGTCCGGCCGCGGCGGAGGCGGCGGGGGCGGCGACCAGCCTCCCGCGCTGCCGCGATGCTGCGCTCCCGGGCCGAGGCGGCGATGACCGCGGCTGACAGGGCCATCCAGCGCTTCGTGCGGGCTGGGGCGGCCGTCAGGTGAGCCTCGGCGGGGGGGCGGGGCGGGACGGCTCGGCGCCGGGGTTCAGTCCAGGCCTGGGGCGGCTTTTGACGCCCTGTCGGGGTTCCCCGTGCTCCGGAGGCTTCTGCACCCCGAGGGGCCGGAGGCGGCGGCCCTGCGGCGGGAGGGGTGCCGGGCGGCAGCCCCGGTTCCTTCCGCACTCGCGATTCTCAGTGCCCCCGGCCCCCGCCATTGCGCTCTCCACCCCGTCAGCGTCCCAGGACCGAGAGGATCCATCCTCTGTGTTGTCCAGGTCCCTCATTGTGCTAGGGCGCTGCCCAGGTCTCTTGGGCCTGCCAAGACTCCTTAATCATTCTAGGACACCCCCTCCCCCCAATCCTTCTGGACCTTCCAGTCATATCTGTGCCCGGCTGAGCAGGGTTCCACGATCTTATACCAGTCTCCCCAGTCTGGCCATGGCTTTCACAGTGTTAAAAGTGCCCCAGGCCTGCTACATAACCCCCCAAGTTTGTCAGTACCCCTAGATCTCTCAGCACCGCCCTTCCCCCCGATTTTGCTAGGCATCCCCACTTCTGATTCCCTCTTGTTAGTGTGAATAAATACTCTTAATTTATAAGGTCCTTGAATCAGTTACAGCCCTTTAACCCTTAAGGTTGCCCTGTCCCGTTAAGGCTTAAAGCCCTTCAGTCTTGCTAGAACCTCCCCCCTTTGGCTGCAGGCCCGACCTGTCACCCCCCCCTTCCCCCCCCCCCCCCCCATCGCTGACCCTAAATGACTGAGACCTGTTGCTCAGGTTGGCTTCCTCTGGAACTGGAGCAGTCTAAAGAGCTTATTATTCCAGGGCTAGAAGCCCTCAATGGTCATCCTGTCCAGTGCCCCCATTCTGTAAATGGGAAATGGGCCTGGAGCTGGCCTTGCCTGTGGCCCCAGGGCTGATCCGATAACGGCTAGGAAGGGAAGCCAGATCTCTCTGCTACCAGGCCTCACAACTCTCTTCAGAATGTCGTTTTTCAGAGGGATGGAGCTTGCAAAGGTGCTTACTAATCCTGGGGTTTTTGTCCTTTAGCTTTTCCACTGGGCTCTGCTGAGGACCTGACAGGGCCCCCCTCCCATGCCTTTGACAGAGCCTTCAGTTCCCCTCATGAACTTTGCAGGTTTAAGCACAGACTTTGAAGCTGGACAAGCATGAGTTCAGAGCATTACTGTGACCAAGTTAGTCGTATCTCCTCACTTCCTCATCTTTAACAATGTGGCTGATAAGCCGAGCATGACGGTGCATGCCTATTATCCGAGTACCCAGGAGGCTGAGGCAGGAGGAATGCTGCAAATTCATGTCCAGCCTGGGGTCCATGTTGAGCTCAAGGCCAGCCTGAGCTACTTGGTGTGACTGTCTTTTTTTTTTTTTTATGGTAATGGGGATTGAACTCAGGGGCTTGCACTTGGCCAGGCAGGCTCATTTATATACCTGAGCTATCTTCCCAGTAAGACCCTATCTTAAACAAAACAAAAACAAAAACAAAAACAAAAAACAAAAAAAAATTGTGGGTGATAGTAGAACCTGACTGCATTTTAGCCTGTTTGCAGGGTAAAATTATCAGTGCCTGGAATAAAGTATGCACCCTCCAATGGGTGCTTGATGGGGAACTTTAAGCATGAGCCGAGGGCTTTAGCACTTCAGCGATAGCCCTCCATCATCTTTCCAGGCACTGTTGGGATATACTGTGTAAAAGTCAGCATAGTAGACTGGGAGTAGAGCTCAGTAGTAGGGTGCTTGGTTAGCATGTTTGAGGTCTTGTGTTTAATACTGACACCAAAAAAAAAAAAAAAAGTCAGCACAATGTTGCATTCAGAAAGCTCAAAATAAGCCAGCTCTGGTAGCATTCACTTGTATTTCCAGCACTCTGGAGGCTGAGGCAGGGGGATCAGCATGAGTCAAGGCTGGCCTGGGCTGCAGAATGAATTCAAGGCCAGCCTAAACTGCATCACGAAAGTTCAAATGAACCTAAGGTTCTAATGCTTAATAGTTACAGCGGCTAATGTTTATTAAACTCTTACCTATGTACCCTATACATTAGGGCTTATTTAATCCTCACTACAATCCTGTGAGGTAGGTCCCATTGTATAGATGAGGAGGCTGAGGCTTACAAAGTAGAATGATGCCGCGAATGGTGGTGCATGCCTGTCATCCAGGCTCTCAGGAGGCTGAGGCAGGAGGATCACTGTAAGTTGGAGACCAGCATGGACTATATAGTGAGTTCAAGGCCATAGCAAGATCCTGTCCCAAAAACCAAAAACAATGGGAGGCTGAGGCAGGAGGATCATTGTGAGTTTGAGACCAACCTGGGCTACAAAGTTAACTCAAGGCCAGCCTGAACTACAGAGATCCTGTCTCAAAAAGACAAAGACAAAAAAAACAAAAACAAAAACAGAACAACAAAACCAAAGTAGAATGATGGGCCAGGACAAACCTGGGTGATAGCCCGAGTAATGTGATTCTGCTTTCCTGACCAAGTCTGTGAATGTTCTACCGGCTCTCCCTTAGAAGAAATTTATTTGCAGTCCATTCAATGACACTAGGAAAATACTGACTGTTGTAAGCCAGTTACTATTATTACTAATGACTCTGCTGAGTTGGGATCAAAGTTATAGTCACGTGATCCAAATGTTACATATAATTATATATGTATATATATACATATATGTAATATAGCACATCTATAGTGTATATAACAACTGTATATATATGTATGCTTTGCCTTATTTAGTAGAAACACATAACTTTGTATGAAGGTAATATTTTAAATTATGCGTCAGTTTTCTTCATTTGTAGTAAAAAAAAAAAAAATGACCTCAGTGTTCAAGTAAAACCTGAAATTCCGAACTTAATTTTATAAATATTTAGATGTTTTATTTTACATTTACTATTCTAAAAAAGAAATGCACTCCTGTATATCTGCTAAAGTATTCAGTCATTTAGCAAATGTTATTGAGAAGCCACTCTGTGCTGGGCGTGACCTAGATACTTCTGATGCCTCAGTTAGTACAATAGACAAAGATCCCTCCCCTTAGGGACTGTGCGTTCCAGTTGAAAGAGATGGACAACAAAGTAGTGAAAAACTGAATTTTATGTTAGCAAATGGTAAGTCCAGTAATGAAAAGAAGAGGTAGAGCTGGGTAAAAGGGGCCGGGAGTGCAGGTTCCAGCGGTGTGTTCAGAACAGGCCTCTGTTAGCAGTGAAGAGAACTAAGGGTAAGAGAGGGAGCCACATGGTGACATAGGGGAAGAGCGTTCCGAGCAGAGGGAGCAGTGGTGCAGAGGCCCAGAGGTCAAGAGTATAGGCTGTGGGGCGAGGGGGTACAGGCCGGTGATCCCAGCACTCTGTAGGCTGAAGCAGGAGGATTGCTGTGAGTTTGAGGCTAGCCGGGGGCTACATAGTGAGATCTGGTCTCAAAAAAAAAAGAGTGTGAGGTGAACTGTTCTGGTAGCCAAAGCAGCAGTGGAGTGAGGGATAGCAAGAGAAAACTGTTTTTCCTCTGAGATAGGACTTTTGGAAGGCTGTACTTTGTCTTGGATTTTAAATCCTAATTTAAACATCCTGATTCTCAAAACATAATCATATTCCTGTATGTAACCTTAGCTTTCAAGGTAGGGATTTGGTGGGTTATTTGGACAAGATGTTATTCTGCCTACCTATGTTTGTACATTCACATTTTGTGTTTGTGGTGAAGGAAGACAGCAAAGTCATTTTCTTTTTTTAGGTATAAAGTCATGAAGAACTGGGGAGTCATAGGCGGAATTGCTGCTGCCCTTGCAGCAGGGATCTATGTTATTTGGGGTCCCATTACAGAAAGGAAGAAACGGAGAAAAGGTAAGAACGGGGCCACTGCTTCGGGGACTCTGGACTTGACTGATACCTTTTTATCTCAAAACACTGTGAAAAGCTAGGGGACTGGGTCATTTTTTTGTTCTCTTGTACCTTTTAGTTATGAGACAATACTCCTACATCGACTTATTATTTTCCACTCTGTTATAAAAATATTTGTGTTTGAGCATTTCTGAGGACTTGAGTTTAAGGGATGCGTTGGACTGTGGCTCGGATTGTTCCCATGAATGACAGTGGTGGCTTTAGTAGCAGACCTGCTTCATGCACCTGACTTCTTGCTAGTAACAGTAAAAGTTTCAAATTAGTTTATTCATTAAAAACTCTTATTTCCTTATTTTCAAGTGATCCTTTTGTAAATGTTACTCTCCTAATCATTGATTAAAATACAGTGAGTGAAAGAAAGGGATAGAGGTAGCAAAATGTGATCATTAGAAAATCTGGAGATGGTTATAACTGAGTTTATTATATATTCTTGTGAATGTTTGAGAATCTTCATTTGAAAATATTTTTACAAAACATTTTTAACAGAGTAGGGAATTGTATTGAATTTTGGTGTTCTCTTTGCAGAAAGGCTGATCAGAATTGGTAGTGATGTCTTCCCCAGTAATTGTTCTAAGAACAAAATCATTGTCCTCACAGAACAACAAGAGAACATTGTTTTCTGTTCAGAGAAACACTGTTTTCTTACTAAAGAAGAGACAGCACGTGAAAGAATGAGGGAGAGAAGAGAGGAGAGATGGTTGGTTACTAAATGTTTTTATATGTTTGATAATGAACCCTGCTGTGCCACCTTGCCATGGCCTCAGAGTTAACAGAATGCAGACGTGGCCTCCTGCTGCTTTCAGCACCCAGCAGCCAGGCCTGTGCCAGTGCGCGGGTTTTGCTATCTCCGAGTGTGGGTGATAAGGACCTGCTCAGATTGGGAGCCTCAGTCTAAGGCCAGAGTGCACACACTCTGGGTCCTGGCTGGGAGAGAAAAGAAAAGTGGGTGCCGGGCGATGTGCTGGTCTCTTCCTCCCCCAACTTTCTTTCAGGGCTTGTGCCAGGCCTCGTCAACTTAGGGAACACCTGCTTCATGAACTCCTTGCTGCAGGGCTTGTCTGCCTGTCCTGCCTTCATCAGGTGGCTGGAGGAGTTCACCACGCAGTACACCAGGGGCCAGAAGGAGCCCCCGCCGCACCAGCACTTGTCCTTGACACTGCTGCACCTCCTGAAAGGTATCTACTGGGTGCATAAAGGGGACGCATGTGTTCACAGAGCCCATCAGCTGACAGGCAGAGAACAGGCTAATAGCTTTATTGTAGAAAAGACTGTATAGATCATCACAAAAAAATGCTACAAGCCCAGAAGATACAAACAGGTCTTTTTTTAAACAATCAAATCTGGAGCCATTTGTTTGTCCATTTTAAAATCTGCCCATTGTAATAACAGTTTCTTAAGCCAGGAAAAAATCCCCTGCCATATAAACATTTTCATTGTGAAGGACCTGGTTCCAAAAACATTTAAATAGTGCCTTACGGGGCTGGAGAGATGGCTCAGTGGTCTAAAGCACCTACTTGGAACAAGCTTGGCAAAGCACAGGGACCGCGGTTCAATCCTCCAGCACCACATGCCAGCCAGCCCCGCCCCCTGGTGGGCTGAGCTGGCCACACACACACACACACACACACACACACACACACACACAATAAATAAATGTTAAAAAAAAAAAAAAAAAAAGTGCCTTAGCCTGAGAAATAAGGTCATTCACAAAAAGTATACACTCCAGGGTTCAACTTGGCATCATCACATCAAAGAAATATAAATAAAAGAATAGTGCTTTTTTGTTTTGTTTTCTTGTCTGTCAGCAGAGATTAAAAAATCCAGTGCTGGCCAACTGCTGGACAGTACATCCACACACTGCGAGCGGGGGTGGGATTTAGTGTGCCTTTCTGGAAAGTGGTTTGGCATGGTCCCGTAATAGTTGGCAGAGTGCTCAGTGCCCCGTGGCCTAGGAATCGCATGTCTGGCAGTCTGTTTTGTAGAAGTAGTTAAAAATTTGTACCCTGAGTTGGGCTTGGTGGCATACACCTATAATCACAGCAGTCTGGGAAAGTGAGGCAAGAGGATCCCAAGTCTGAGTCTAGCATGGGCTGTTAGTAATTTAGCAATACTCTGTCTCAAAATAAAATATAAAAAAAGGCTGGGGATATAAGTCAGTATGAAACTCCTGGGTTTAATCTCTAGTACCAGGTAGGTACATAGACAGACAGACAGACAGACAGACAGGGAGGGAGGGAGGGAGGGAGGGAGAAAGACTGATTTACACAGGTGAGGAGAATGAAGTCCCAAGAGCAAGCAAGTTTAGGGATGGCTGCACCCCAGCTCCAGCTTGGAGATTCACAGTAGATGTTGGTTGGGTAAAGATTTGAAGTCATCTATCTGACTGTATGGATTGTTTTGAGTCAGTTTTGCTGTGTATTCAGGCTGAGCTTGAACTCACTTTGTAGCCCAGGCTGGCCTTGAACTTGCAACAGTCCTACTGCCCCAGCCTTCCCAAGTACTGGGTTTACAAGTGTGCGACACCATGCTCAACTTCTAGGTCTTTTTTGATTGTTGTTTCCTCTCCCTCCCTCCTCCCCCTCCTCCTCCCCCTCCTCCCCATCTTCCCCCTTCTCCCCCTCTCGGTATTGTTTTAGCTTGCGTCTCTCTAATGACCAGTGATATTGAACATTTTTTCATATATTTATTTGCTGTTTGTATTTCTTCATTCAAGAAGTGTGTATTCACCTCCAATGCCCGTTTTTTGGATCGGGTCTTTAAGTTGGGCTGGTCTGACTTTGTGTTATTTTAGTTCTTTATATGCTCTTCATAAACCTCTCAATAAACCTTTCTATGTTCTCAGATAAACCTTTGTCTGAGAAACATCCAGCAAACTTTTCCCCCACATTGTGGTTGTCTCTTTACTCTGTTGAGGGTTTCTCTTTCTGTAGAAAACCTTTCTACTGAGAAGAGATCCTATTTGCTGATCCTCTGTGATAGCTCTTGTGCACTCTGGGTTTTCTTCATCGTCTGTGGCCACGCCAGGGTCTTTTAAGAGTTTTCATCTATCTTCCAACAGATTTAGTGTGTATGTCTTATTATTTAGATCTTTACTCCATTTCAGATTTAGTGTAGTGCATGATGAAAGATGTGGGTCAGTTTTAATCTTCAACATGTGCAGAGCAGGTTTTTCCAGCACCATTTATTCAAGCGTCTATGTTTTTGCCCCCTTTGTCAAATATAAGGTAGCTGAGTAGCTGGCGTTTTTACTGTATCTTCTGGTCTGCGCCGTTGATCTTTGGGTCTGCTTTTCTTCTAGGAAAAATAGCTGTGCTATTTTTATCACCATGGTTTTATAGTGTAATTTCAAGTCAGGGATTGTGGTGCTTCCTGCCCTGCCTTAGTTGCCCAGAGTTGCCTTTGCTATTCTAGGTCTCTTCTGGTTCCAAATAAATTTTAGGATCATTTTCTGTAGTTTTGTGAGATATGCTGTTGGAATTGTATTAAATCTATGTAACAGTTTTGGAAGTGTGGCCATTTTCTTTCCTTTTTCCCTTCCTACCCTCCCTCCCTCCCTCCTTCCCTCCTTCCTTCCTTCCTTCCTTCCTTCCTTCCTTCCTTCCTTCCTTCCTTCCTTCCTTTTTTGTACTAGGGATCAAACTCAGGACTGCGTGCTTTCCACGTAGGCACTTGTGGTCCTGAGCTGTATCCCTGGCCACCATGTTCACTATAGTGGTTCTTCCTACCCATGAGCAAGGAATATCTTTCAATTTTCTGATATTGCTTCAACTTTCTTCTTCAGAATACTAGTTTTCAATGTAGAGATCTTTCACATCCTTCATTAGATCAATTGCTAGGCATTTAATTTTTTTTTTTGGATGCTATTGTGAAAGATGTTTCCCTAATTTCTGTCAATGAGTTTGTTATTTTTGTATAGGAAAACTATTGATTTTTGAGTGTTGCCTTTGTATCTAACTATGCTGTTGAATTTGCTTATTAAATCTATGTTTTTAGTGGTGTTTTTGGGGTCTTCCATGTAGAGTTTATGTCATCTGCAAATAATGATAACTTGACTTCTTCCTTTCCTATTGTTATTTCTTTTATTGCTTTCTCTTGTATAATTGCTCTGGCTAAAGTTTCTAGGACTGTGTTGAACAAGAGTGGAGACAGTGGACATCCTTGGTTTGTCCCTGATTTTAGAGTGAAAGCTTCCAGTTTTTGTCCATCGAGTATGATGTTGGCTGTTGGTTTGTCATAGATGGGCTTTTATTTGATTGAGATAAAGACCACCTATTCCTATTTTCTGTAGGGTTATAATCATGAATGGGTGCTAGACTTTGTCAAAAATTTTTTTTCTGCATTTATTGAGGTGTTCATATGACTTCCCCCCCCCCTTGGCTCTGTTAACACAGTGTATTACTTTTATTGATTTGCGCACGTTGAACCATCCCTGCATCCCTGGTATGCATCACACTTGGTCATGGTGTCTAATCTTTTTGATGATTTGTTGCATTCTGTTTGCCAGATGTAGGAATGTGATTTAATTTGACCTTAGCACGGTAGAAACTGCCACAGGCAAGGGCTGGACAGAAAATAACCAGATGGTTAGCAGCAGCTGTTTTGGTGTTGTATAGTTGTTGACACTTTGGGAACCTCATTCACCTTCACAGTTGCAGGTACTGGTATCAGGTCTACTGATAGCATGTCAGAGAAGACACAGGCTGGGCCTACTTAGCTGGGGAGTCATTGCATTTGCAGAAACCCCTGAAGTGCAGGCCCTTACTTCATCTCCCACACTCTAGCGGTACTGGTCCGGTGCAGTGTTCTGTGGGAAGCAGCAGGGGCAAGAGTAGGAGTCAACACCTGGTGACCCATGGGCCAGATCCACGCTGCCAGCCACACTCCTTGTTCAGGTATTGCCTGTAGAAGCTTTCTGCAGCCAGAGTGAGTGGTTGCAGCAGAGAATGTGGAGCCCTTTACAGAAAAAGTGCCCATCCCTGTCTAGGTATAATTATAAATTTATAAGGCTGATCAATCTTTTGCTTTGGCTTATTAGGTTCAGTTCTCCTTTTGATTGTAAAATGAAGCACTCGGCAACCCCTTTCAGGCTGCTCCACAAAGCTTAGTATAATTTGCCATAATAATCAGAATTCCAAATGCAAACAAGCAAAGGCCCAAGCCATGGGAGCGAGTGCTAGGGAGAGGAGTTATGTACTGGGAGTGGGGCTGAGTTTGATGTGTGTTTGAGGCCTGCACAGCCCTGAGAATGGTAGGTGAGAGTCATTTTACTAAACAAGATCTTGCAACGGTACATTTATAGTTAATGATGATAATTTGAAGATCCAGAAATCAGTTTGTTTAAATGATGCAACCTCACATTCTTTCCGACAGCATTATAGCATGCTAAGTGTTGCAACAGGCTAAGAGTGATATAAGGGATCTAACTCACAGAGAATCTTATAGTCCTTAAATTTTAATTAACCTTGATGGGGTATACTGTATTGGTTCCCTGGAAGTTTAATAATTGTGTTACCTTTTGTTTCCAGCTTTGTCCTGCCAAGAAGTTACTGATGATGAAGTCTTAGATGCAAGCTGCCTGCTGGATGTCTTAAGAATGTACCGATGGCAGATCTCTTCATTTGAAGAACAGGTAAGCGCAACATACAAACAAGCCTACCTTAGGGAGGCCTTTCTCCTGGTGATTAGGGCTCTGACCTTTAGCTGAATGTACATTTCTATCACATTTTAAACAAACTGTTCTGGAATGAGATTCCACCTTTTTTCTTTCATAATTAGAGAGAATGTAAGATGCTTTGTCATCTAGTGGAAGGAAGGTTAGCAGGAGGGGACATCAGTTGTCTGTGGACATTTTTTCAATTCTCAAGTGACTTTAGACTTTGGTGGCTGATAGGGGATGCCTGGTGGGTCCTTTAAAAAGAGGCAGGTATCTTCACTTTGGAGGTTCGGAGGTTCGGGTGAGACTGTTTCTGGGCCCATCCTCTTGAAAAAAGTGAGTCTTAAGGCCACACACCTGTAAAGCCAGCACTCAGGAGGCTGAGGCAGGAGGACCATGAGTTCAAGGCCAGCTTGGGCTACATAGTTGAGTTCAGGGTTAGTCTGGACTATACAGCAAGACCCTGTTTCAAAAAGATAAAAAAAGAAAAAACTCAAACAAACCCCAAAAGTCAGTTTTAAATGGTTGGCTTAAAGTGGCCTCAGAGTTAGAGCAGACACTGCATGGAACCCCAAGACCTTATTCTGGCTGTTCCACCTTCTCTTTTCATAACTGCAACCTCACTGATACCTTCAGAACCCGAAGAGAGAGGAGCCTCTGCCCTTTTCCCAGTCCAGTGCCACCAAGAGCAAGTCAAGAAGGATGCCAGCAGGGGGAAGCTCCAGGGCAGAGAACCGGGAGCTTCACTCTCACACACCGCCAGCCATGTTTCTTAGATGGCCTTGTCCTGCCCTGTGAGGGCTGCTTCTGCTGCCGCTGTGCCTGCACTAGGCCAGAGAAGGGACCGGGTGGAGTTTTGCGGACCTCCACCAGCGGGACTGGGGTGAGAGGCTTTTAAGAAACATGACAAGGGAGTGGCCACTTTTTCCTTTTGTTCTACATGGCACTGGATATTAAATGTAAGCCCTTGCACATGCCAGCCAAGCACTCTACTGCTGAGCTATGTCTCCAGTACCTTTTTCAAAGTTTCATTTTGAAACAGGGTCTTACTCAGTTGAGACAGGCTGCCCTTTTCTGAACTTTGGATCCTCCTGGCTCAGTTTCCTGAGTAGCTAGGGTCACAAGCATGTGCCATTGTGCCCAGCCTAATTCCCCTTATTATTTATTTATTTATTTATTTATTTATTTTTTGTGGTACCAGGGATTGAACTCAGGACCCTGCGCTTACCAGGCAGGCGCTTATTCTACTGAGCTATCTCCCCGAGCCCCCTCCCCTTATTTTTAAGAATCATTACATTTCCTCATTAATCTGAAGCCACAGGTTCCTTTTTAAACACAATGTTGCTGGTATCTACACTTTCTTAAAGTGCATCTGGATTAATCCAATTGTATCTTTAAGTGTTTCCTCATTCTGAGAATACTTTTCAAATCTATGGACCCCGAGTTGAGGTTCTCACTTGTGAAAAGTGTGACAGCATTTCCCATTCGACAGGAGGGGCCCTGGGAAGGTAGAAAGCGGACTCTGCAGGATTAGCTTTCAGGATGGGAGGAGGTTTGCGTGATGGGTCACTAGGCAGTGGTTCCACCTGTGGCTTTGCCTCATCAGGCCCAGTCTCTGGGGAATTCTTTGGCCTTTTACAGGACGCTCATGAATTATTCCACGTCATTACCTCATCCCTGGAAGATGAGCGAGACCGTCAGCCCCGGGTCACACATTTGTTTGATGTACATTCCCTGGAGGTAAACCTTAATGTTTTCAAATATACTTCATCCAGATTAAGCATATTTAATAAGTGTAGGAAACACAAGTGGGAACTTTTTACCACCTGAAACACAAAAATGTAAGATACAGTAAAAATCAGAAGTGTTAATAAGGCTGGGAAGGGTCTTAAACTGCACACTCTGCAGTTGGTGCCTTTGGCTGGGATGCCATCCTCTTTAAAATAATTTGTTGCTATAATTCTTGTTGGCATTGAGTAGAAAGAGTATCATTTTTTCCTGTTTAATTGAGGGGACAAGGGACTGTTGATTTGTTCTGTCCTCATTTTCTTGTAACAGTGTAATGTGTGGGGAGTTGATAAACATTGACCAGTAAAGGGGGAAAATATTCTGAAGAAAAATAAGTTTCAATTGCAGTTGATGAAGGAATATGAATAGTAACCAAGCAGAGAGGATAAGTAGGGCTACTTTTTGAAACGTGGGCATTATTGGAAGTCGATTTTGATGGTGCAATTAGCACAGAAACTTGTAAGATTTTGGGAGTGGTGAGGGTGGTAAACAGATGCAGTAGGGTTTTCAGCCTGTTTCTCTCTCTTTTTTCCCCTACAGCAGCAGTCAGAAATAACTCCCAAACAAATAACCTGCCGCACAAGAGGTAGTTGTTTCCATTGAAATGTAACAAATAAGACATGTACTTTTTTGATGTGGCAATAATTTTCTTGGTTTTTTTGTAAATTTTTATTTTTCCTGGTGATAACAGTCTGAACTGTAATGTACTTGCAAAAGACTTGCATATTGGAAACAGCTGTAAACGGTGTTTCATGGCATTGTTAGTGTTCCTCCACCAGACTTCCTTAACACAAAGCCTTGCTTCAAATGAGGGTTTTCTTTTTACCTCCTTGAATTTTGAATCCTAGGGAAAACTCAGTATGCTGAATCTGTCTTATCCTCAACATTTCCACTTTGGCCAACTCTTACTGTAATTATCATAGTTCTCTAGAAATCCTTGTTTTCTTAACATTTAAAAAATAAAATTAACACACTAATTTCCATTGTGCCTTAATAGTAATGGGAACACGTATTTTTTGAGCTCATTATATGCAGGAGAGGAGAGGAGCGGAGAGGAGAGAAGAGGAGAGGAGAGGAGAGGCGAGGAGCGGAGAGGAGAACGGAGACATTTTATTTTATTTTATTTTTATGTATTTAGTTCAGGGTCTACAGGGTCTCACTACACAGATCTGACTTGTAGTGATCCTCCTGTTTTCAGCCTCCCCAGTGCTGGGATTACAGGTGCATGCCACCACGCCCAGCCATCTCATTTGCCACCTCCGTGCTCCCTGGAGGCAGGGCCCGCATGGCAGGCGGGGAATGAATGGAGACACTGGGATGACAGTTATACTCATTTCCTGCAAACAAAACATGTAGAGATTAAAGGACTTCATATGAACTAGCTAACAAGAAGCAGAGCCAGGACTCATCCAGGGCTGCTTGACTTCAGAGCCCAGTTCCTCACTGAGCTGTAGTTTACTCAGCCCCATTCCCAGGTTGAGAACGTCCCACTTCCTCGGCGCTTGCACATTCTGGTAACCTCAGAAACATATCTCACTTGGGCCGGGGAGATGGCTCAGTGTTGAATAAGCACTTCCCTGGCAAGGGAAGGGCCTGAGTTCAATCCCCAGTCCCGCAAAAAAACCCAACAAAGTAAAACATACCTCACTTAATAGCAGTATTCTTCTTTTGAGTTAACATTTTAAGCATACATTTATAAAAATGTTATTAAACACAGTTTCCTTTTTAAAAGTGTTCTAGAACTCTGTGTAAAACTTTTCCTGTTAGGGAATGGGTGTCTATTTGATGGGAGTCAGAAAGGAAAGCTCTTTCTTTTTTGTGGTACCAGGGATTGAACTTGGGACCCTGCACTTGCCGGGCGTGCGCTTATGCCACTGAGCTAATCTCCCTGGAAAGCTCTATGTACTTTTCAAGAACAGTTTCCACTGCATGTTAAAAAGGAGGGTGAAGTTTGAAACTGATGCCACAGGACTAAAAGTGGCACATCGAAGATGTTTTGCATTGCAGGGTCTCCTCATCCCACATCCAATCACTGGAAGTCTCAGCACCCTTTTCATGGAAGACTTACTAGTAATATGGTCTGCAAACACTGTGAACACCAGGTAAGTGCATGTCCTGTCTTTAGCTCCCAGTGAGACTGTAAGATTCATGAAGCTTGTGATGGCCTGGACTCCACACACTCACGCTCACACTTATGCTCATGCTCACGTGCCTGCTGTATGCTCTTCTCCTTCTCTCCTCTTCCTAGGCCCTGGAAACTAATCTACTTCTGTTTCAGTGATTTGTCTGTTCTGTATGTTTCCTGTAGGTGGAGTCTGTCATGCCAAAGGTGTCCTTTTCTGTCTGGTTTCTTTTACTCAGCTAAATATTTTCATGGTGCTCCATGTTTTAGCATGTTCTTGTTCTAATTATCATTACTTCATTCTTGTTTATAACCAAGTAACATTGAGTTGCATGGATAAACCCCATTTTATCCATCTGCTCATCAGCAGATAGGCATTTGGATTGTTGCCCCTTTGGGGGGTATTATATACTAGGTTCTGTGTACACATTTTTCTGTGGACATACGTTTTCATTTTGGTTTGGTGTATACCTTGGAGGAGAATTGCTACCTCCTCTGTAGCTGCACTTGGCCTTTTGAGGGACTGACAGACTTTTCCAAAGTGGTTGCAGCGTTTGATATTCCCACCAGGGGTGTAGAATAGGCTTTCTCCATGGTCTTCCCAACACTCGTACCTCAGAACTTCAGCTGTCTCATTGTAGGATTTATCCCTGAATTATTGAGGTATCACTGATGAACATTTAAGTGTGATCATGTGGTATCTGTCTTTTTGTATCTGGATTATTTTATTGATGATTTATTATCCTCTAGGTTTATCCATTTTGTCACATATGACAGGATTTCCTCTTTTAGTGGCCAAATAATCTATGTGATATCTGTGTCTATGTTACTATATATAAATGTATATATACATATCTATATATGTATCTTTATTATAGAACATTACATATGTGTGTGTATATATATACATATATATGTATATATGTATATATATACATATAATTATTTTGCTGTCCTTTTTTTTGACATTTAGGTTACTTAGGTTACTTTCTTGACTGTTATGACTGAAGTTTAGATAATGATTTCACCTCCTTCAGGTATATCGAGGAATGTGGGAATACTGGGTTATATGATTACTTTTCTGTTGTGTGTATGTCAGGGGATTGATACTTGGAATTGAACCCAGGACTTTCATCCCTAGCACATTTTATATTTTATTTTATTTTAATTTAATTCTTTCTTTCTTTTCTTTTTTTTTTTTTAGAAATTTTGACACAGGGTCATGCTAAGTTGTTAAATTGTCTGTCCAGGCTGGGCTTAAATTTGGGATCCTCCTCCCTCAGCCTCCCGAGTGCTGGGATCACAGGCACATGTCACCATGTCCAGCTGATGGTTTTTTTTCTTTTCTTTTTTCTTTTTTTTTCTGAAACTGGGGATTGAACTCAGGCCCTTGCACTTGCCAGGCAAGCACTTATTCTACTGAGCTAACTCCCCGGCCCCTGATGGTTTCTTGAATGTGTACTTTTTTTCACCAAATTTGGAAATTTTGTGGCTATTAATTTTTCAAAAAACATTTTCTGCCTATTCTCTCCTTGCTATTCTACTGGTGTTTGTTTTGCAGGTCACTGTGCCTCATTCACTTCTAAGCAGTCTTTTTTTTTTCTACTTCAAATGGGGTCATTTCCACTGAAGCATCTTCAAGTTTACTGACTTATTTTGGTCTTTTTGAGCCAGTCTCACTGTGCAGTTCAGGCTGGCCTTGAGTTCACTGTGTAGCCCAGACTGGTCTCGAACTCAAAATGATCCTCCTATCACAGCTTCCTGAGTGCTGGGATCACAGGCATATCTTTGTTTTTCTGAGTTGATTTCTTTTTAGTTTTTGCCATCTTCTGTTATTTTCCAGTCATTCAAATAGTTTTTGTGGGCCCGGGAGATAGCTCAGTAGAATAAGTGCAAAGGTCCTGAGTTCAATCCCTGGTATTGTTTTTTTTTTTTTTTTTTTTAAAAGAGTTGACTCCAAGTAGTTTTTGTTTTGGTCCAGATTTTACAGCTGTTCTCTCAAGAGAGGGTACAGCCAGCAGGCCACTGTGCCATCTCCACAAGGAGGAATGCTCACCCTAGCTTATCCTCTGCTTTTTTTTCAGTTAAGAGTAAAACATGAACGTTTCTCTCATAACTACATATTCTACTACTACTTTATTTTTAATACACTGGGGTGTCTCTGACTGTGGGGTAGGGTCTTGTTAAGTTTCTGAGTTGCTCAGCCTAGGCTCACACTTAGGTCTTCCTGCGTCAGCCTCCTGTTAGGTTTACACGTGTGTGCTTTGTGGCTGGCTTCTAGGATTTCATCCCGTGCATGTGCTGTCACATATTAGTCACTCCCTGGAAGTGTCAGCTCTTCAGTTTTTGCTCTCTGCTGAATGTTACACCTATGGCCTTAACAGTGAGCTAAAAAAACAAAAACAAAAACAAAAACAAAAAAACAGTGAGCTACCCAGCCCTTCTTAATTTTTTATTTTTGAGAGGTTTTTTAGAGTTGCTAAGTTGTCCAAGCTGAGCTCAAATTTTTGATCCTCCTGTTGCAGCCTCCTGGAATCCTGGGATTGCAGGCATAGCCACCATGTCCAGCTTCAGCTATGTAAATTTTTATTATTATAAATAACACCATGATTAAAATTCCTGTATTTTTGCTCACAGTTATTTCCTTAGGATAAAATCTCAAAATTGTTGGGTCAGGTATGTAAACTTACAATCTTTCCAAGCTAGTCTTTATGATCTTTGTAGCTATTGTTTATAAAATGACTTCTAATAAAATTTTCATCTGAGTACTTTGTTTTACTATGTTAACATTAGACTATCGTATAGGTATATGTCTTCCATCTATTGAATTGATTCTAAGTCTTTTCTGAATTTTCTGTAATGTTTGTTTCAGAGTCCTGTTCGATTTGACACCTTTGATAGCCTTTCTCTAAGTATTCCTGCTGCCACTTGGGTATGTACTGATGTACAGTTTATTCAAGGTCTATTTCAAAGACATTTCAGTCTGGGAGGGTTTTGTGGCATTTTATGTGCCTCAGATACCTAATGTTATTCAGACACATGGTTCATCTCATCCCTTGAATTTTAATGTGGGATTCAAGGGCTTGTTATAGGGAGAGGAAGGTGGATGGGTATTTTTTTTTTTTTTTTCTGGATAAATTTTCACTTTTAGGAAACATACACACACCTCTCAAGTTCAGAAATACCTAAAATAGTGTGGAAGCCTACACTTTCCTCCTGTTACATCTTCTTACTCTTGGCTCTCTTAGTAGCAGCTGGTAGAGTGCTTTGAGGTTCTCCTTTGTTTAAGAAACATCTAGTTTTACAAAGCTTTATTGACTACCTGCACCAAAATAAAGCTCTGGGGTTCCCTACCCTGCTCACAGGTGCCTCTGACTTGTTCTGCTTTCCCACTTCTCTGCTGTAGGGTCATCCGTTGACCCTGGACCACTGCCTTCACCACTTCATCTCATCGGAGTCTGTGCGGGATGTTGTATGCGACAACTGTACAAAGGTAGGCCCGCGTCACCTCCCTGCCAGCCAGCCTCTGTAGCACCTCTCATACCTCTGGCCCTGAGCTCCTCCAATTGCATGTACCCAGTGGATCCTTCCACCTGCCACCATTTGTCCCTGAGTTTTGTTTTTATGTATTTTAGGAAAGGGTCTATAGGGTGATCAAGGTTTCACTACTAGATCAGACTCATAGTTAGCCACGTGTTTACAGCCTCCCAAGAGCTGGGACTACAGGCGCATGCCACCATGCCCGGTCTCAGTTGCCATCTCGGAGCACCCCGGGGGTGAGGCCAGCACTGCAGGCCCAGGGATGGAACTCCCAGCCCCTGTGCCTGCTTGCAGGTGCTTTAATCTCCTGAGCTATTTGGCTGGCCCTCTACCTGAGTTTTGTTTCATTGAGTTGTAAAGAAAACATGCATGTCATGCCTGCAGTTGGGACATGCCCTTTCCAGTTGCTACCATGCTGTCCATTCTTGCTGGTCTCATACCCTGTCCTTTCAGCTACGCTGCCTGTCCGAGGCCCTATAGAACTGCATTTCACCCTCTGAAGCAAGAGGAACTGTGGGCAGAATTCTGAAGACAAAACCCAAAATAGATTATATACCAATATCAGAGAATCAGTGTTGATTCTTCATTTTCTATTCTGTGCATGGTTACTGGTATTTAAGGACGAAGAGGGATCTGTGAAAATACTCAGATAATTGGGGAGCTGACATGATTTCAGCAGATAGCAGTCAAGAGATTTGCAGGCATTGACACCAGCTTGATCTGCTGCTTGCTGCTCTAGGGATTTCTGCAGAGAAATATTGTTGCTTTTGTTTCAGATTGAAGCAAAAGGAGCATTGAACAGGGAAAAGGTGGAACACCAGAGGACCACTTTTGTTAAACAGTTAAAACTAGGGAAGGTGAGCCCATGCCACGCACCTGCCTGGTTTTGCTTTGAGGGATCCACATGTGCGGCTCTTGAAACATCTCAGCTCTGTCGGGTTCCCTCCTCCCCTCCCCACAGCTCCCCCAGTGTCTGTGCATCCACCTCCAGCGGCTGAGCTGGTCCAGCCACGGCACGCCTCTGAAGCGGCACGAGCACGTGCAGTTCAACGAGTTCCTGATGATGGATATCTATAAGTACCGTCTCCTGGGACACAAAGCCAGTCGGCCCAACACTAAGCTAAGTGAAAATCCAGGGGCTGTGCTGGAGCTGCAGGATGGGCCGTCAACCCCCAAACCAGGTGTGTGCCTAAGGCCAGACCCTTCAGCCCAAGAAGGAACGTAGCATCACCAGCTTCTGGATGCTTTATGATATGAGTTCAAGGCTTAGGCAGTAGTTGTTTATTTTATTTTTTTTTTTTTTGTCTTATACACTTTAATGAGTCAGAGGTAGTGAATTATTCTGAAAATTGCACTCTTAATAAGATTTTTTTTTTTTAAATTTTTTTTTTTATTTATTTTGTGTGTGTGTGTGTGTGTGTGTGTGTGTGTGTGTGGCCAGCTCAGCCCACCAGGGGGCGAGGCTGGATGGCATGTGGTGCTGGGGGATCGAACCGTGGTCCCTGTACTTTGCCAAGCTTGTTCCAAGTAGGTGCTTTAGACCACTGAGCCATCTCTCCAGCCCCAGTAGTTGTTTAAATTCTTTTATTTAAAATGGTATATGTTTGCAAAACATGATATTTACATCCATTTGGGGGAATTGATATAGATAAATGGCATATATTGCTCATTTTTGATTCTCCTCCTCTCCTTCTTAAGAACATAGAATTGGGGGTGAAGGAGGAGAGATTTCTTTTGTAATACTGATGATGAACTCAGGGCCTCACATATGCTAGGGAAGTGCTCCCATTGAACTATGTGCTCATTACCATATAATTTTAACTTCCTTAAGAAATCTTGGAGGGGGGCTGGAGAGATGGCTCAGTGGTCTAAAGCACCTACTTAGAACAAGCTAACCAAAGCACAGGGACCACGGTTCAATCCCCAGCACCACATGCCAGCCAGTCCCGCCCCCTGGTGGGCTGAGCTGCCCCCCCCCATAAATAAATTTAAAAAAAAAAAGAAATCTTGGAGGGGCCCGGCCAAATAGCTCAGTGGATTAAAGCACCTGCAAGCAGGTACAGGGGTGGGGGGTTTGATCCCTGGGCCTGCCATGCCAGCCCCACCCCCACCCCTGGGATGCACTGAGATAGCAATCGAGACTGGGCATGGTGGTGCATGGCCGTGATCCCAGCACTTGGGAGGCTGTAAACAGGAGAGTCACTAGACCCTGAACACCCTGTAGATCCTTCCCTAAAATAACAGGAAAAAAAAGAAAGAAATCTTGGAACCTGACATGGTAGTGCATGCCTCTAATCCCATCACTGTGGGAGGCTGAGGCAGGAGCTTCACAAGTTCAAGCCCAGTATGGGCAAGTTAGTGACATGGTGAGACCCTGTCTCAAGATTTAAAAACAACAACTAAAAGTGGTCAGCGATGTAGCTCAGTGTGAAGGCTCTGGGTTAAATCCCCAACACCCCTTCTTCTGTACACACATGGGCATGCGTGCACGCGCGTGCACGCGCGCACACACACACACACACACACACAGATAAATGGAGGGAGGAAGGAAATCAGTTGCGGGTGTAGCTCAGTGTAGAGTTCTGTCTAGCATGCATGAGGCCCTGGGTTCCAGCCCTAGTACAGCAACAAAATTGTACAGTATTGAGAGATACATAGTTTAAAATCTAATACAGATTAAAAAATTGAAGAAAAGCTTAATATGTTGTCTTGTCTTTTGATTTTTTGACAAAACAGCAGTTGCTTCACATCATTCCAGTGAGGTTCTTTTCCTTTCTCTTTTCATTTGCATACCGCCATCTCTTGTATGCAAGAAATGTACAAGAAATCCAGGGAAGGAATGCCCTGCTGATGGTCACTGAACAGCTTACTGGGTTCATGTGACTTCTTTAATGAATTTAATAATGAATTATTTAGCTCATTCTATTCCTGTCTTCATCTGAGGTTACTTGTTTTTTATTTATTTATTTATTTTTTTGTGGTACCAGGAGTTGAACTCAGGACCCTGCACTTGCCAGGCAAGCACTTATTCTACTGAGCTTTCTTCCCGGCCCTGAGGTTACTTGTTGATGGGGTCTAAGTTAGGCAAGGTAGTCATTATTGTTTTCAGTCATACAAATGAAAAAATTTAGGAAAATTTAGGCTCTATAACATGAAAAGATTGGTCCAAAGGCACATAACGTCATCACTCGCTAGAATGTGGTGTTTGGCCGGGGATAGTGGCTCATGCTTGAGGCTGAGGCATGAGGATCACCATGAGTTCCGAGTCAGCCTGGGCAACATAGTGAATTCAAGGCCAGTTGGAACTGCATAGCAGGACTTTGCACCCCCCTCCAAAAAAAAAAAAAAAAAAAAAAAAAAAGTGGTGTTCAGCAGTTTTCTGAAGGTGTCTTACGTGGCACACTGAGTTATTCTGAGTCACAGATGACTGACCTATAGGGCTGCAGACCTGACCTCACCACCTGTGCACTGCCCCTAAGGGAGTCAAGAAGACTGTCTTCCTGCTTTTTTTTTTGACTTTGTGAGCCTTACTCCTTTTCCTCCTTTTTGACAACTATAACTGGATGGCTTGGCAAAGCAACCTTTCAGGGAGACTGCGTTTTGCACTTTCTCACCAGGTCAGCAGAAGAATGTCAGCCGGCTCGGTCTTTGGCTCTGTCTTCAGTCAGCGATCTCTTCCCCCTCACCTCCTCCTCTCTAGGCCTGGTGTTAGGGTTTGTATTAGGTGTCCCCCAAAGCCTCATGCAGGTATGGGGCCTGGCTTCTAGAGTTTGCGGTTATTGTGGGTGTGGCTGCTGCACCTGCCCCAGGTAATTGCATTACAGTGTAAGGAGGGGAGAGAGGCTAGCTAACTGCCCCAGCTGCTGCCACTCCTTTTGCTGTCTTCTCTTTTCCACCTTGTGTGCCTCTCTGCCTTGGAGCCAGCGGAGTATAGACTGAAATCTCCATGAACTGTGAGCTAAATAAACCTTTCCTTCATTTTGGGTGTCAAGTATGTTGTCCCAGCAATGAGAGAAAAGTAACAGACACTTGGTTTCAGGTCTGCTGTGTTCAGTGCATGGTGGCTACAGTTGAAGATGGCAGCAGTGAACTATATGGTACATAGAAGCCCCCAAATATGCCACCTGGTTTTGCCAACACTCGTGAATAAATGTTAATGCTTTACACTGGAGGGGGGGTCTTCCTTAGTAGCGGACAGAATTAAAGACAGGAAGATGTATAGATCACTGACTGAACACAGGGCAACAAGGAACATTGGACACTTGGTTCTTATCACTTTGGGTTGTCATCACCAGGGAAGGCGTGGCTGACATCTGGCAGGCAGAACCCAGAGATGCCACAAACCCTGTAAAATGTAGTGTACACCTCCACGGCACACAGTTACCCAGGCCAAAATATTAACAGTGCCAGAGCTGAGAAACCAATCAATGAACTACTGTTTAACTTTGATACCTGCTCTTAGCAAATGGGGATTGGGCATTCAAAGAGGGAGTCGGCAAGTCCAGCAGTAGATGGGTGCTAGGTAGGCTTTTCCTGTTTGGAATTAAAGAGTCGGGACAAATAGGTGAGAAATTTTGGGAATCAGTGTAATACAAAGTGGGATATACTTTTCTTTGTATCATTATGAGGAGTTCATTTTCAAGGTAATCAAATCCATATTTGTTTATCTAGAGTCCTGCTAATTTTTATCCACTTTGGCCTTTCTCTTGCAGTTGTGAATCAGCCAGGGGCTGCCAAGACGCAGATTTTCATGAATGGCTCCTGTTCCCCACCTTTATTGCCGACCCTGACCCCCACGATGCCTTTCCCTCTCCCAGCTGTTCCTGACTACAGGTGAGTTGCTATTTGAAGGGGCACATTCTTTATTTGCTGTGGATGCCACCTTAGTTTTTAAAATCTGTTTTTTCTTGATATAAGTTAATGAAGATGTAGGATTGATTTTTAAATGTCATTTTAAAATGGAATTTCAGTGTAAATAGAAGTCATTTTAAAAATAAGAATTATAAAAGTGTATAAAATTTGGATATATAAATGCATATGAGATATATGTATATTTCAAATATAAAAAAGAAAATTTTATATATCTGGGGATATCACCTAGATACTAATTAATATGTACACACAATATAGTCTACACACACTAGATACACACATAATCACTTGATACAAACATCCACATATACACAATACACATATACTCAGAGAGTAGACAGCTTGCCTCAGGTGGTACAGACATACAGTTGTACTGACCCCTAATGTTTAACATCTAGAATTCTTTTTTTTTCTTTATGAGACCTTGTTCTACTTATAAACCCTCACATTTGTTCCTGTCATTCAGCTCCTCCACATACCTCTTTCGGCTGATGGCTGTTGTCGTCCACCATGGAGACATGCACTCTGGACACTTTGTCACTTACCGACGGTCCCCACCTTCAACCAAGAACCCTCTCTCCACCAGCAACCAGTGGTTGTGGATTTCTGATGACACTGTCCGAAAAGCCAGCTTGCAGGAGGTCCTGTCCTCCAGCGCGTACCTGCTGTTCTACGAGCGCGTGCTCTCCAGGGTACAGCACCAGGGTCAGGAGTACAAGTGTGAAGAGTGACTGACCAGCCCCACCCCTGGATCTGACAGAGCTGTCCACACTGTCCAGAACAAAAGCCCAGTCCTGGCGTCATGGTGTGTGTGTGCACGCGCACGTGTGCAAGCAGTCCCGCTAGAGCCCTGTGCCCTCCCAGTGTGTTCTAAGCAGGCTTCACACAGGAGCCAGCCCCAAACAGCTCACCAGTACACACTAGAAGGTGTCGTCATGTTATGAAAGCATTCATTGTGTCTAGAGGGTCTTTTTACTCACCCAGTACAGGTAATTAAAAGAAATCAGATTCTGGAAGCCACCTTTTCTATATGGTAACATGTTAGGTGTTCTCAGAGGGGAGTTACCTTTGTTGAATCCTCTGACCTTTCAGCATAGATCTTATTTTTAATAAGCAGGTCCATAAAAATTATTGACAAGAATTAGAAAAATCATTAAAGGCAACAATTTAAGAAGATAAAGTGCCTTTCACTTTCAATTGCTTTTGTAGCACATCCCTTCTAAAAAATAGACATTGTCTAAGAGTAATATAAACATTTTTGCAAAGCTGTATTCCTTCCAGGTTACTCAGAGGATATCTAAAGAACAGTTAAAAGATGCCTGAAGAACACCTCCCTCCAATTTTTCTATGCCTTTTCTAATCTTTCAATTTTTATGTAGTAAAGTCTCATCTGCCAAATCTGCCCTCATCCAGGGAAATTCTTTCACTACTTTGTCAGTAACGAAGTAAAATGCTTATGTGCTGCTTTTATCTTTTGTATACTAGATGGAGAGATGTGATTATATTGTAAAACTGGCTAGCCAGACTTGAGCAGTACCTCAGCATCTGTGCCATACCTGGGTTTCCTCTGCTCTGTAAGGGATCTCATTACACAAGGATGGTTATTTTCCTGTTTTATTTATTGCCTGTGCAGACCACTGAAGATCTGCAGGTAGGCATTTGGGGCTTTTGTAAAATGACAATCCCTGCCTTGATTTGAGAGCTGGTTTAGAAAGGACTGGTGCCGACCCGGGGCTGCAGTCTGTGTCTCTTTCCTTATGGTAAAGTGAAAGGTTAAATTTGATGGCTAGCCCTTTTTCCACAGAGGAGGAAGGCTGTGTGTGTATCTCATTTTTCAAACTTACATAACTACAGCTGACATCTAGTGTTGTCATTGTGTTGTAGGTCCATACTCTATATTCTTTGTTTCTGTAGCCTAATACCAGGACAGCATACCGAGCTCTTTCTTCCCTTTTCAGATAAGTCTCTTGAATGCAGCCCAGGGCTGAAGAAGGCATTTTGGTGATGCAGCATTTGTGTTTTAGCTATGTTTGTAATTTAAAGGTTTTATAAAGGGTATCAAATTCAAACTGACTTTTCAGAGATAAGGTTTGGAATCAGACCTACCCAAAAGGTCACCTGAGGTCAGGCTGAGAACTTTTTCTTTGCTAGGAGTAAGCTGGCAGAATCTTCCAGATGTGCCTTGGCATCAGCTGAAAGTGCAAGCAGCCCAGGTGATCAGCATGTGGCCAGGCCCAGTGTGCATTCTGAGGACACAGTGTCTCTCCCTGCCAGCAGAATATACTGTGAAGGTTCTTCAGCCGGTGGACAGCAGTATAAAAGGAGCAGCTCGACTCTCCTGATTCTCCACTGTTGGCCCTGTAGACCTTGGCTTTGACTGCTTGAGGCTGGGGGAAGCAAATTCTGTGACCTGAAACAACATTGCAAAGTGCAGCTTGAAGTACCAGTGTGGACTCTGAAACTGGCCCTCCCAGAGTGCCGCGGAGGACTGAGCCTTCAGACGTTCGGGTTGGAGCAGGTCTTTGGTCAGACCAGGTTTGCGCCAAGATTGTAAATGTGAACGAAAACCTAATGAAAGCTAACTTCCTCATTTTGTAAGTTATTAGGCATTAAGTAGCAGCCAAATAATCTGGTTTCTACTTTTAAATTATTTACAAAGTAGCTTCTTTATGGAAAAACCAAGTTACTAGTAGTTTATGCCATAACTGCTGACTTCTGTATTTGCTAAAGGTACTTTTGTATCTGCTATGTATTATAGCAATAAAAGAATCATTTTATTAGGAAAAAATCAACTAGAATTTCTCTTCCAGTTTACTAATTTGACATGGATATCCTCTTTCTGAATGGACATGTTAGGTCTAAGGTTCTGTGCTTTTATTAAATCACTTCTGGGTTGTTGGTGGAAGAAATGCCAGCTCCTTCTCAGGCAGAGAAAATAGAAGCCATGTGCAGTGGCACACACCTGAAATCCCAGCACTCTGGGAAGCTGAGGGAGGACAATCACAAGGTTAGGTCCCTGTCTTTTCTCACTGCTGGGACAAAATGCCCGACCCCCGTAAGTTAAAGGCACAAAGGCTTATTTCAACTCACATGAGTGGTAAAAGTTTCACTCCATAGTCGGCTGGCTCCAGGGCAGGGTGGCATCTCAGAGGAGCAACAGCTCATGGTGTGGCAGGCAGCCCCACTAGCAGCAAGCCTCCTTTTGCCTTTATCCCACCCAGGGTACAAGCCGTTGGGTGGTGCCACCCACACCCTAAGTGGGCTTGTTCATTATCCACACCCAGAACTATACTAAAGCAGTCACTGGACTAATTTAGTACCATACACCCCAGATCAATCAGCTCCAAAAAGCCCCACCAACGAGTCCGTGAGACTTTGGGATGACCTCTGGACACGAGTTATCCAGTCCCTCCTGGGCAACTTAACCAAGACCTTGTCTCAAAACAAATGGAAAAGAGCTGGGGATGAGTTCTATGGTAGAGGGGCCGGCAAGATGGCTCAATGGAATAAGCGTTTCCCTGGCAAGCGCAAGGGCCTGAGTTCAATCCCTGGTTCTGCCCCCCCCCCCAAAAAAAGGACTACTACTAATAAATAATAAAAAAAAAATTTTATTTCTTAGTAGGCAAAATTTTACGAAACGTCAGATTGACCCTTGGAGCCAGGACCTTCTTGCGGACAGGAAGACTGTGGTACCAGTGGGTGTTGGTAGGGGGCTTCATCAGCAGCAAGCTTCCATGGGCCAGCTGCACCCTGATGGCCTCCACCCTCCGGCAGGGGTTCTTCCCTCGAGACTCCCTGTGCCGGAAGAAGAAGTCCCTACAGGCTCCAAAGGAGACAGAGGCAATGGGACTTCCTGGGGCCAGTTCTCTTTCGTCGTCTCGATGCTCCCCGATGTGGTCACAGCCATCTTTATACCTGCAGTGAGAACATGCACAGCTTAGAACCCCCTCCTGTGACTCACTGGTACTGCAGGTACCTCGTTCTCTTGCAGTGTGAAATGGTGCTCCTTGTGCCGGCCTTCCTGCTGTATCTGCAGGACCCTGAGGTCCTCACATGGGTGTCCAAATAAGGCAGTCCCTCCTTACTTGGTAATCTAGTCCTATTTGTTGTCCAGCTTGAAAACTCAACGCACACAAAGCAGCCAAAGACATGTTTCCTGGTACATATACATAAAGCTATATCACATAACTCCTCCCTACAATAAAATAAGCCCCCTTTCCTTGCAATCTGCCCCGTCCTTGCCCGCCTCTGAGTGCATCCCATCCACCTCCCCCATTTCTGCCTTCCAGCCCATTATGGTTTACATCTAGACCATGCCCCCAGTGCCTCCCAAGTGTGGGAGGTAACTGGATCGTGGGGGCATGCTGGCTTGCTGTGAGGTGGTTAGGCTGGGTGGAGGTGGGCCACTGAGAGGGCATGACCTGGAAGGGTGTCTCTCTCTCACTGGCTCCTCTTCTTTTTCCTGATTACCTTGATGTGAACAGCTTTCCTTTACCAGGCGCCTCTGCCCTGCCATTTGTGCCTTGGAGCCAGCTGATCATGGACTATAACCATAAGCCAAAATAAATGTCTCCTCTTTTAGGCTGTCCACGTCAAGTATCAGTGCCCTAGCAACAGGCACGTGACCAAGATCTTGCTACAGGAATGAGGCTGTTGCTGGGACTACCTGACCATGTGGTTCAGGAGCCTTTGGAATTGGTTTGTGGGAGGAGTTTGGAAAGCTTTGGGGATGCCAGCTAGAGAAGCTCAGGAGTGCTGTCAGTGAGCTTAATGGGACAGTGGTCAAGGCTCAGAAGACCAGAATACTGAGAGATGCAGATGGTAATGGCCAGGTTTGAGTTTTCTGTTGGGAAGAATGACTCCATGGGCTGCTGGGCTACAGACCCTGTGTATAAAGCTCTCACATAAACTGTTTTGCTCATGTACTGAGACTTTGCAAAGGACTGAGATTAAGGGCAGTGGGCTATTTAATATGGTGGAGGAAATTTTAAAGCAGCTCAGCATTTAAGTTGTGGCTTAGGTACTGTTGGGAGCTTTTAACAGATCTACATAGAAATCCAGGAGCAGAAACTAGAGCTGAATGATATATACCTTGACTATAAAGGAACAGCCTACAAAGCCAGTGCTCTGGCGTGATGTTTAAAAGATCAGCATTAATAAGAAGCCAAGTAGGGGGCCTGGCCCTAGCTCAGTCCTTTAAGTGGCTGCTTCCACAAAGCTGTCAGCCTCAGGTTCCTGGAGTTCGAACCTCACAACTCTCCCGCTGGCCAAAAGTGCCCTGAAGGCATTCGAGGAAAAAAAAAAAAAAAAAAAAAAAACAAAAAAACCCTTAAAGGGGCTGGAGAGATGGCTCAGTGGTCTAAAGCACCTACTTGAAACAAGCTTGGCTAAAGCACAGGGACCGCGGTTCGATCCCCCAGCACCACATGCCAGCCAGCCCCGCCCCCTGGTGGGCTGAGCTGGCCACACACACACACAATAAATAAAAATAAATAATTAAAAAAAAGAAAAAAAAAAAAAGAAGCCAAGTACTTTATACAATGGTACTTCAGTTCATGAACTAAACTTGCTCTATAATTTTGGAAAAGATGTTTATGTTTGTGTTTGTGTGGCAAAGATAGCTATAGTCATGTTTGTCTCCTGATTCAGAGTTTGCTAACAAAAACAAAATTTTGCCAAATGCTTGTTTGTGAATCAAATTGCAAACAAGTGTTGGAGGCACTGCTGTTTCAAGACAACAAGAAAGATGGCTTGAGAGCATCTTAGAAAATCAGCAAGAAATTGGGCTCCAGCATGCAAGACTGCTTTAAGAAGACAGCTCCAAGGGCCAGCAAGATAGCTCAGCAGACTAACCGTCTGCTTTGGCTAGTGCAGGGTCCAGGGATAGAACTCTGCTGCACTGGCCCCACCCCTGGGGCAACTGAGTCCGGGCATGGTGGTACACACCTGTAATCCCAGCACTGGGGAGGCTGAAAACAGGAGGATCCCTACCAGTGTGAGCTGTGTGGTGAGATCCTGTACCAAATACATAAATGAAAAAAAAAAAAAAAAAAGAGCTCCCATGTATAGCTTCCTAGGGAACTGTTCCGCAGGATTTGGTTCACAGTGCTCAGGCATCCAGGCACCTGGAGATCTCTGCAGCCATGATCCTTAAGCTGGCAGCAGACCTTGGCATCATCTACATGGTGCTGGGTTATAGGCATGCAGCTGCAAGAGTTATGGGGTCATACAGACTGCTAGCCAGATCTGAAAGAAAGGCCTGGAAGGCCAGGCAGTTTGCCCTGGAGAAGGTAGTACATGAAACTAAGAGTGAAGCACAAGTGCAGAGAAGACCCCCGGAAGTTAGAGGTGCCCGAAACACAGAATGTCCACTGGTAGGGAGCAAAGAAAGAAGCCACGAGGGCTGTGACAGGCAGTCCTGCAAGGCATGGGCCTGCTCAAGCCTTCTGGAGTTTACATCAGGCCTCAGCTTGCCCTGGCTGCTGACCATGAACCACAGGACTTAATGCTTGCCCTGCTGGGTTTCTATGTTGCTCTGGTCCTATTCTTTTCTATATCCCTATTTGTCCCTTTTGGAAAGGAAACGTTTATCATGTGCTGTTGTAGACCAGCACTGTTCAACTTTCTCATTTTTACAGGGGCTCAGAGCTAAGAGTTTGCTTTGGGTCTTAGATAAGACTGGACTTGGATTTTTCAGCAGTGCTGGAACAATTAAGACTTTGTTGGGCCGGCCAAATAGTTCAGTGGATTAAAGCGCTGGGCCCAGGGGTTCGATCCCCAGGCCTGCTATGCTGGCAGGGCGCACTGAGATGGCAATTGAGACTGGGTGTGGTGGCACGTGCCTATAATCCCAGCTCTTGGGAGGCTGTACACAGGTAGATCACTACAAGTCCAATCTACGCAGTGAGACCCTGTACACTCTGTACACCCTGTCCTAAATACAAAAAAAAGAAAAAAGACTTTGTTGACTGTTACAAATGGACTAAATTTATTTTACATAAAGAGACAAGAGCCACCTGAGGGGTCAGGAAAGGAATGTTATTGTTTACATCTGGAATGTTCCTCCAGAGCCTCATGTGTGTGACAAGGTACTGGGATCACGGGGGCCATATACCTGGCTTGCTGCTGGGAGGTGAGACATGACCTGGGAGTGTGTCCATCTCGCTCACTGGCTTTTCTCCCTGCTTCCTGGCCACCATTATATGTGCAGCTGTCCTGCACCAGGCCTCTCTGCCCTGCCATTTCTGCCCACAGACCAAAATAAACCTCTCTCTTTTAGGCTGCGGGTGTCAAGTAGTATGGTGTCAGGTATTAAGTCCCAATGATGGCCCAGTGGCGAGAGGCATCCCTGCTCCAGACACTCTAGGTTCCTTCTGTACAACTCAGGTTTCCTGTGACTTGAGATTTCCATTTAGTTACAGGTCATCTGGCACTGTGAGCACCCTCCGCTCACCACCTCATCTCAAGTTTGAAGGTAGCCTTCCCCTCAGCACAGTGTGATTCTGCCCCAGGAGACACTGGCCAGTGTTGGGGCATATTTTTGGCTGCTGTGTTGGGGCAGGAGGTGCTATTAGCATCTATTCAGGGGCGCCAAAGCATCTGGCAAAGCACTTGTCAGCCTCCGCAGCAGATGCCAATAGCGCTGCTGCTAGCAAGCCTATTGGAAACTGCAGCCCCTTCCGCCTAGCCACTTCCAGTCACATGGCCCTGTTTAACACCATCTGAAATAACTCGTCAAACTACTAATCCTTGGGGCTGGTGAGATGGCTCAGTGGTCTAAAGCACCTACTTAGAACAAGCTAAGCAAAACACAGGGACCGCGGTTCAATCCCCAGCACCACATGCCAGCCAGGCCCGCCCCCTGGTGGGCTGAGCTGGCCACACACACACTAAATAAACAATTCAATAAATAAATATTAAAAAAAAAAAAAAAAAAAGGACACTGGCTAAAAAAAAAAAAACTACTAATCCTCCCTCCCCTCCCACTGCACACAAGTGCCACATGCCAAGATAGACTGAGACAGAGATGTATCAAATGTAGTTCACCAAATAGGGGTGGTGTTACCTGTTGACAAGCACAAAGTTGAAAGTCTGTCCTGTCACTCCAGAGACTCGATCCCGCACACGCTCTAGCACTGGAATCCAGGGCTTCGGAGACAGCGTAAGGCCTGAAAATGTGTAGGTCAGCCCAGCATCACCGTATGTCGCCTGCTTCCTCGGCACGTCATGCCACTTCCCAAACACCAGGACTCTGGCCAGCGCCCCTGTGCAGGTGAAACAGCAGTTCTGTTCCTGTGGATGCCCAAAGATGCAGGGGACAAGTGCCCAACACATTCCCCAAGAATTCTAGGGTCAGGGAAGGGGAAGAGGAATAACATTCCCCTCTGTTCTTCATTTTGTTGCATTGTGTCCTGCTGGAGATGATCTCCTCAAAGAAACTGTGGCAGCCAGGCATGGTGGTGCATGCGTGTAATCCTATCACTCTGGAAGGCAGAACTAGGAGGACCACAAATTAGAACTTAGCCTGGGCAACTCAGTGATTTCATGAGATCTTGTCTCAAAAAATAAAAAGGACTAGGAGTGTAGCTCAGTGCAAAGACCCTGGGTTCAGTCCTCAGTACTGGGGGAAAAAAAAAATCACTGTGGCCTGCCCCAAATTTTCATGTAGGAACCATTACATGATTCTTAGCTGGAGCTCATGCCACATACGTGTCTGTATGCCAGCACTTGGAAGCGTGAGGCAGGAGGATCACAAGATCAAAGCCAGCCTGGTGCAACCTAGCGGGACTCTACTTCAAAAAATTAAAATGGCTGGGGATGTAGCTTGGTGGTAGAGAGCTCCTAGGTTCAAACCCCAAGCCTGGGGGTAAAAAAGTAGTTCTTGTCTTATAGTTAGACACACAGGGCCTAAGGTTACTTTTTCTTAAATGCAATTGCTTTAGTTACTGCTTAACTAAAGAAGAAGCAGAATAAAGGGTCTGAGCTTTGAGCACAATGAATGTTCACTTGCACCAGTGGGGTGGTGGTGTCAGCCGTGGGGCCCATGGGCTGCAAGAAAGCTGAGGTTTGTTCAGCTCAGGCTGGGCCAGGCTGCTGGTGTGCTCATCACAGGGAAGAACAATGGTCCTCAACCTCTGACCCTCAGACCATCGCACGGCCACCGGGAGCATCACCAGCCAACAACTTACAAAAGAGACTGCTTGGGACTCTCTTCAAAGTTCTGCCTAACAACAAGCTCTCCAGGTGAGGTGGGGAACCACCCAGCACTCAGGCAGGGCAAGTACCTGATTATCCCCCATCACTCCCACTGGACCAGTGATTCCCAACCCTGCTGCACATCAGAATCCCCTCGGAGTCCCACCACAATCTTGGGGCAGGAAATGAATCCAGGGCCTTGCACATGCTAGGCAAGTGCTCTACCACGGAGCTGCATCTCTAGTCTCTGGAAGCTTTTTAAAACACATGCTCAGGGGCCTGGGAGATGGCTCAGTGGAATAAGCGCTTCCCTGGCAAGTGCAAGGGACTGAGTTCAATCCCCGGTTCTGCAAAAACAAAACAAAATAAAACAAAAAAAACACATGCTCTGGTTGCAACCCCCAGCTATTCTGATTTACGTGGTCTCCCACAGCAAGAGCATAATGAATATTTTTTAAACTTTCCAAGGTGAGTCTCATCAGCAAGTAGCCAAGTGCAGGCACTGTAGCTATCTGTTAGTTCCCAATGGTCAATCGATCTTGGTTTTTAAAACTCTAACCCAAGCTCAGAGGTACCCAGGTAATATTTGTTGAATCCATCAACAAAGACTCCCGAATTCAGATTTCTCCAAACTTAAGAACACTAGCTTTACTAAACAAGCGTTCAATCACTTACCCAGAGTCCTCTGCTTACCTGTAAAATACTCTACTTCTTCCTCCAATGTTTGGAAAATCTCATCTGCCTCAGCTTTGCCAAACAGGACCGTGTAATCGCAGTCCAAGCCCTCGGCCCGGATGTGCCGCCAGCTGGGGCCCGCCTCGAGGACGGCGCTCTCCAGGCTCTCCCTCCTGGGCCTCTTTCTCGGGCCTGCTGGCTCTTTGCCTAATGTTCCTGGCTCTTCTTCAGTTTGTTCTTGGTGCTCCCCCTTCCCAACACAGTATGCCTGTGTGCGCTTCGTCAGGAATCTTTCCATCCCGCCTCTCGCTGCTAAGAAGTAGGGGTTGGTGGGGAAGCAGACGAAAGGAAGAACAGTATCCAGGTTTTGTCCTGGATGAAAAATCTATTCATTGCCGGGGTCTCACAATAGTGTTCCTATTAAGTTTTCATTTGAAGTGTAAAACATGTCCTAGAAAGGAAGTGTAGAGAGCATCAAAGCGTGGAAGGGCCATCAGGGACAGGCCCAGGGTTGCCCACACCTACCGACTGTGCCTTAGAATTAGCTGGCCGGGGCTGGGGACAAGCTTACTTAGCATGCTTGAGGCCCCTGTGCCAAAACACAAATGAGAAGCCAGCTGGCTAGCTTGCAAAAACCTCCATGCCCGCACTCCCCATCCAAGAGTGCTAAAGTTTTAAAGAAATTATTCCTAGGAATTTACAAGTCACAGCCAACTTTGAAAACT